GAAGTTCAGGTTGTGGAATATCTCATACTCAATCCATTCTTAGTATTTGTTCTATTATGTACTTATATAATGTAGAATCTTGCCAATATTATAATGTAGGGTATAATTAATTCATATTCAATTTAAATACTATATAAATATTTAAACAAAAAATGATACCTTACATTAAAAATACGTAGGTACATTTTACTTGTAGTTTTGGTTATCTAAAAATCTGATGACCTATAAAATTCATTCTGAAACTTAGTTTACAATAAAAAAAAGTTAAGAATTCAGTTGTGCCAGTTATCGATTTTGTATTTGTATATGATTTCAGTATAAATATATGTAATTAAAATTTGAAATCTGTATTCAGTTTATTATATACACACTTTTAATATCGCTTTCGATGTTATATAAGAAAATAACGATATTCGCCGGTTGTTAACGTTAATTATCAACAAATGTGGGAATTATCGTTATTTTCTAGTAGATAACGTTAATAACTGCATGGTATGGACGGACGTATGGTAAATGTTGATTTTAAAATAACGTCCAACGAGCAATGATAAATAGGTGATAGCTAAACTAATTTTGATACTAAATAAATAAAAACATTAACCAAAGAACCAATCACTGATGAAGACCAAATCATAGATTAACTCACAGAAAAAAATTCGGAGCTTAGTAGGTACTTATAACAATAAATATCCGAATCCTAAATTTAAGACAAATAAGACTAAAATATAAATATTTTTTTAGATGATCGTCAAGAAAATATTATAATGTTTGTAAAAAGTCGAAAAATATTTATAAAAATAAGCAGAGAAAACGATAAAACTTCAAAAGAAAAAAAATCCTCAGCTTGAAATAAGCACAATTGTACGTGTAACTATACCGGACGTTGATAGCAGAGTTCATGGTTCTCCATGAAATATACTAGCAGTTGTCACTCCAATTATACAAACTACGTATGTTAATTATTAATGAAAAAATAAATCATTAAAATTTAAAAGTAATTAATATTTCTTTTATAGGTACKGAGCATGGTTTTCTTTAGTAAAATTACACACGCCAAGAAATAGCTGCATGCGTAGAGAAATTTTTAGACATGGAAAATGTGATCAAATTCACTGATGGTAGACAGTTAATTCCAAGGGAAGCAGCTAGTGGGTTCTCAAGCGTACCAGCATTGCCATGGAAAGATTAGMTGCAACAATGAATGTTGTGCATGTCGTGAGACTGAAAAGTTATGTAACAGTAAATGTCATGGCAGTACAACTTGTAACAATAAATACATTTAATAATAATGTATTTTTTCTATTTTTAAAAATACCTAGGCACATAATTTTTCAAATTGTAATATTTGAGACTTACGTGCACATCTKTTCTAGAACATCAATTACCTGTATATTTGGTAATTAACGTGATTCTCTAGTTTTTAATGATAATTACCTATATATTTGATCAATAACGTTAATAATCGGCGAATAACGTTAATTTCCATTTAACGTCATTTACCGTTATATATATTAATTTGTTGAGTGATGTACGAATACAATATAGAATAAAATCACCATGATGCAAGAAGTATTGACCAAAATGTTTGAATATTCGGCTTTTTTATTCTATATATTATATATACTACTTTCAATTAAAATTATTCAATATTACTAGAGACAAAAACAAACTGTTACTCTTTTTAAAAAACCTTCATCTCTGCCTCTTCTTCCACTACGTAGCTGATTTCTCCATCTCCTACCAATAAATTATGTAAGTCCTCCACCATGTCGGTTTCATTGTCTTCTGTCTCTTCGGTTTGTTTATCCAAGGTCACCAACGTGGTYAGGTTAGGTTCACTAGTTGCTATTTTCACTGCCGTAGCCGCTGTCGCATATTGTTGGTTATTYTTTTTGAGAATGTCCTCATACTGGAAATCTACAGACCGCTTAAAGTTAGCCACCAGGTCGGCAGTCTGCGGATTTTTCAAATAATCGGCGGCTAGCGCGTATGGGTTCTTCGGTGACTTCTTCAAAATTTCATTGTACAAGAGTGACGCTATCGCTTCTACCTGCTTGTACGATTGAAAACGCGTCAAACAACATAATAAAAAAAGGAGCAACGTATGAATGAAAATGAAGCTGTAATATTTGCAGT